TTGCATGATCCATCACCGCAGTCGCACACTGCAAACTCAGCGCGTATCGAGCTCGATACGGCTTATCTCTGCCGTTTTGATGACCATACTAGGATTGTCGTTCATCATTCGACTAAAACCCACTGTTGCCGGGTGGATAAGAGCCGTTGGCAGTAACCAATTCAGCTAATAAACAGCCTGCCCTACCGGAAGAGTCCGTTTAGCCAGCCGGAGGCCGCTGATGACTCTGGGCTGGTGTCGCCACTTATTAGCTGTTCTGCTGGTGGGTATGATGCGTTCAGCGGGAGCTTGTTACGTGGGATAGAAAGGAATTGCTGCCTCACTGGTATTATATAATACTGAACGAGGCCGGTGTAAATAAATTTTCAAGACCGAGGTCCTTACTGGATTTTTGAACGAGGCCGAAGGCCGAGTTCAAAAATCAGTAAGGACTGAGGTCTTGAAAATCTATCACCGGCCGAGTTTGGTATGTATTTTACTGTATGCCAACGATAAATTAATTTTCTGGACCGAAGCTCTTAGCCGACTTAGGAACGAGACCATCCCAAAATGTTGGCTTAAAGGTAGTGTGCCACCTTTGAAAGATTTCCCATTTTATTTTTCCTAGGATAAGAAGCTTCTGTTTTTACCTAATTTCGCAAAAAAAATCAAAAATGGGCCTGGAATAGTGCCTTTTTCGCCTAAAAGTTTTTCGGTTTTTAGATATGTATAACAACTGTAGTGGGCTCACCTGCAAACAGGCGTCGGGCAACAATCGCGAATGCGGCGCACTTGTGACAATAAGCAAAGGTCATTATAGTGTTACGACCATACGACGTACGGGAATGAGTTATCAGCTGTCTAATCGTAGACAACACAATGTCGAGCCTTAAACTGTAAGCCCGTATTGGTATTGTTTCTTTTATTTGTCTGTCGAACATTATTTATGGTTTGAAATATGATTTTATGTAAAATAATTGATATCATCATCATCATATTTATTTGACATCCTTTGAGGACAAAACAAGGAGAACATATCTTCATAACATAACCGTGACACATGAAGATACAAACACAGCACGGCACAACAAAGTCACGTTTGCAAAGCACGGGCAGCTTTTTACATGAGACGGACTAGGAGAATCAGTTTGGATGTATTGTTACAAGCAGCCTTACTAGCTGCCATGACTCGGCGCTGTTGCTGTCCATCAGCCAGCTGAGCGAGTCCGCAAGGCCACACTCGGGCCTGGGCGTGTGCACCCAGTCTCCGTGTATATGACCGCTGGCAGCCTCCAGTACCCTCATGAAGTTTCCCCCACATAGCGACATTAGATGGCACACAATAGAAGCAGATGTATCCGCGAATCTCGCATTGGTCGCCAACTGGGCCAGGCTACTCACCAGCACACAACGGAGGCGGTGCTGGCCACGAAAAGCGTTTTGAGTAGCGCGAAAAATAGACCGCCGGACGAGAGCTTGTACACTTGGGATGCGAAGTGCCGCCATTAGTGCGGAGTGGTGGGCAGTGCGCGGTAGGCGTAGCGCGCTTTTGACCGCCGAGGCTTGCCAGCCTTCGAGGCGAGCAATATCTCCAGAGCTTAAAAAACAGACCTCACATCCATAAATCAGAACAGGAGCGACAATCATCCGCCATAGAAATGCCTTATCAACAGCGGAGAGGTGCTGATTAAACATGCCGGCCGGCGTTAGGCCAAAGAACGCACCCCTGCTCCGCTGAATTCGGGCAGTCACCTGATCGGCACCGTGTAGCTGGGAGCGCAGCTCAACACCCAAGTGTGTGGTTTCCTGTCGGTGCTTCAGGATCTGTCCGCATAGCTGCCACTGAGGCGTCCGAGAGAGGAACTCGGCCCCGAATATAAAGCTGTGACTCTTGGTCAAGCTTTGGTTCACATGTACAAAATCTATCCTCCACAACACTGAGAAGGAGGAGACGATATGAAGCATTGATTGAAGATCGCGTGCGTTACTAGACATAATCAGAATATCATCAGCATATGCAACTGCTGGGATGTGGTGGCCATACAGCGTGGCGCCCAAGCGACAGTCATCGAGCTGTTGGATGAGCGGGTATAAAAACATATTGGTGAGGCACGGCGATAAAAGCGCACCCTGTCTCACTCCTCGGCGCACACAGAAGGCGTCTGACAGCTTCCCACCAAAACGTACTCGGGCTGACAGGTGAGAGTACCAATAGGCCAGAAGCGCCCAGCTCCGGCGTGGGAGGTGCTCACTCGCTCGGAAGAGGACGCCATCATGCCACAAACGATCAAAACATTTCCTAGCATCGAGGTTAGCTGCAAACAGCGGGAGTTTATAGCATAGGTAATGTTGCGCGGTCTCGTGTACAAGCATAGACGCTTCGCTGGTGCCCCTATGCCCTAAGAACCCAAACTGAAGTTCAGAGGCCTCAAATGACGTGTCGATCTCTTCCTGAAGGATCAGTTCCAGAAGTTTGGAGATAGTCGACACGAGAGAGATGGGGCGGTAGCTATCGGCAGAGTCGGGGTCCAGTCCGGTCTTCTTCATGATAGGCACCACTGTGCTGCATGTGAAACTGACAGGGACACGCATTTCAGCGAGGCAGGCAGAGAGTAGAGAGGCGATAGCCTCGTGCAGTGGTCCTGAAGAGCCGTAGACAAGATGCTCAGCGGTGACGCCGTCCGGTCCTGGTGATGCGTTGCGGTTGATTTGCGGGATCAAGCGAGCTACATCTCCTGCAGTGACGCGCTTAGCGGGACCAGGATCTTCTTTCGCCTGGGACAGCAGGGCTTCTACTCGGGTGCGCACATCATCTTGGGCTGCAGAGAGGGTGTCCTCGTCCGTATGAATGGGGCGGAAGTGGGCCTCGAGGCTGTCCGCCGTGAGCGAGGAGCGCAAACCGCCCGAGCCACGTCGAGCCTGCTCTACACGGCGCCAGAACGAATTGATGTCCTTCTTCTGACGCAGCGATGACAGGAGATTTGCGCTGGTATCAACCTGGGCACGTGCTGCATCGACCCGGGCCTGCCTGTATGAACGACGCGCAACTTTGAAGCAGTTGTGCAGGACCGTATTCCGTGGTCGACCGGCGTGAGTCCAAATGCGATGCCACAGGCGCGCCCGGTCCCGTGCTGCCGACACTGAAGGGCTCCACCAGGACTTTGGCGGTCTTCGGGGCCGGGAGCCGTCTTATAAGTTATGACCCCATTTCACCACACGCAAGTGGCAGAAATGACAATGATCAGCTGACGCATTTTTCTTGGCCGAAGTCAGAGCGCGCGGCCCGACGCACCACGCGTATTTGGAAATTCCGACCTCGACGAGCATCAGAAGCCACCTAACAGGCGTGTTCGAAACCGCAGGAGATGATGATGAACGGGTTTATCGAAACTTGATTGGATGAGCATATCGGTAATAGCGATTTCAGTGTGTGCATTTATTGTTCATAGTGGTGTGAAATGTGGTTGGGGTACGACCGACAACCCGTCGGGGCGAATTTCGCACTGGGGTACTCAAAATTTGAAGAATTTAAGACGTTTTCATGAGTTTTGAAGGTATGGATAAGTTCTAAAAATCCGGTTCTCCTTATCTGGGCCATTAACTCCATACGGTCCAAGAAAGCTGGCACACTACCTTTAAGTGCATTCTGGTAATGCATTTTTGACCGTGGTCAATTTGCTTACACCAGTTATTACCACACCCCTCTGGCTAATGTATTTGAATAGGCCAGGCATACCTACAGTAAAAATTGATTATACCAGCTCGGGATGCTCACACCGTTCCGACATTTCCATCCTCAGGATAGTCAACTCCTTCTCCTTCACGCCTTAACCCCTGTTCCGGACTGGACGGGCAGCTTTATCCCATGCAGGAAGCTCCCATAGGAGCACGCTCATATCCGGGCGCAGTGTAGTTTCAGGGAACTGGGTGACCTGTCACCTGTCCAATCGGATGGGCTCAGCCTAGATGACTCATGCACTAGGGTGCCCGTCCAGACCAATGATTCCCCCTAATTAGTAATTCCTATAATCCTTCCGCAATGGTCACAATTGACTAAAAAGAACCTAACCCAACAAAACAAACAAACAAACCGGGACACCTACCGGTAGAAGCTCATGGATCCCCGCCTCCATGTGAATTATTTGCTGACCTGTCTCACAGTGCAGCGGCATGTGGTAAAAGGACGGTTCCTACTGCCTCCTCTACGACTCTCTGACTGCAGCTGACCGCCTGGTGGCGCTACTTGTGCCCGCTAGATGACGGTATACATTATATACAGTGCCTTTTCTACAAAGAGCTCTCGCGTAGGGCACTGAGCGGTCCTCGACACTTTACAGACCATCGAGGGCCCACAGTCTCTTGGGCTTAGAATCGTCCTTAAAAGTTAAAAGATCCCAACGCCCCCATCGATCATTGGCTTGACGTCGATCTCTGAGGGCTCACACGTGGGGCTCTGAGTTGGCCGACGGGCCCTATACCTAGGTACCCCGTAGGTACCTACCTATACAATACCTATAGGTGCATCCTGCGCCAGGCAAGGCCGTATATTAGGGCGCCAAACAATAAGCAGCATACGGCATTGTTTATTGTGTCCGGCTAGCCGTCTAATAATAGGTATTTGAGAATTTTCAAGCATTTTTAATTCGCGGCAAATCAGAGGTCATTATAGGGCATCCAATGCAAGCTTAACCTAACATCAAGATCATGACCTGACCGAAGACGATATGTTCGTTCTATGTTGTTCGAATATCTAAGCGAACTCATGTTACACTTATTTTCGGGGCATTTGTGCCTTCAGGGGTCGACCCTTTTCCGTTCCCGGTAGGCGTCCCGAGCGGCTCTGCCGTTCGGTTTCACTCAGTTTCCAGATCCGATCCGCTATCCTCCTCCCGTCCCACCGCCCGGTTTCCGCATTCCAGTTTATCCCGAGGCCCTTGAATAGCGCCCGAGGCTCGGCGTCCGTCCTCGGTCCTTTCCCCGGTGCCGGGGGCGCCGCTCCGTCCGGTGGCGCCCTCTAGCGGCCGGCCGCCCGCCGACGACGCAGCAACCCCGTGCGTGGCGTCTGAGCCGCATTACAAGATGGCTGTGCGGTGCAGTAGGCTCCATTTTGGGAGGGGTTGCTAAACGTGCCGGCGCCCGGCGGGATCGGCCGCGAATTCAACTTTGTTGAGGCGGAACTCGACAGGTGGTTCAAAGGTGAGTGTTTTGATTGAGTTTTCAGATGTTTTTGCTTGTTTGTTTTGAGTAAAACCGCGGCTACATTAGGTGCGACGAACGTGGCGCGATAGTTAACGGTTCCTTTCTCTTACGTTCTTTTATATAGATAGTTTGCTATGCCAACCTTGTAGGCATGCCATTTAATCATCTTTTTCGTTTTACTTGTTCATGTTGCATGCAATTTCAGCATTCCATGCCATGTTGGCATGACCTAATAAGCAAAGCCATTTAAGTTCTCATAAGCTAGAAATGGCTTGCATCATTGCTGTGTAGATTTGATGTTTATAGAAAGGTAGTTATATTATGTTGCATTATTTTGGCCGGATTCCATTAGCATAAAATAAATATTCATTATTGCTGTGCTTATTCTAAATTGCATGCTAGATACTGCAGTGCATGCCGTCAATCACAGGTGGGCGGAAAGTGAATACCTAACTCTCAAAAGGTATTGTTGGTATATCAAAATTGAAATGTTTTTCTTCTCTTTCCTACATCATATTTTATTTGTCAATGTGTCTATGCCTAGTTGGTAAGTTTTTTAATATTCCTATTTGCTAAGTAATGCTTATTTTAATATGTTTGTTGATTTGTTTTGAATATCCACAACTTTCCATTTTGTAGGAGTGTTTTTATATTTTAGAAAATACATTTTTGGTAGGTAGTTTGGTGTGGAGACTGGTTAAGTAGTTTGTCCTATGTAGCTATTTTTCTTGTTTTCATGGTGCATTCATGATGCACTTGCAGGCTGCAACTATAAAATATAGCAGCAAGTTCTCAAATCTCAATGCCATAGGCGTAGGAACAGGGGGGGCCAGGTGGGCAAGTGCCCACCCACTTTTCGAGGTGGGGGGGCCAACCATGTGTTTTGGCCCACCCACTTTTTACTCGAGGCCCCTCGTCTCGATTTGAGAGGACGTCGTCACCTTCCAGAATAAACAAACTCCGTAAAAATAAGTTCCACGAATCCCCACGCACGGACTCCAAGGGGCCGTGATGGATCCAAGGAGGCCCTCTGTTCATACTTGTCAGTCGAAGCCCCTGAGACTGATGGCCTGAGAGGCCCTAGTGGATCTGAGGAGGCCCCAATATCCACACTGGTCTGGGGAGGCCCCTGACACTGGCAGTCTGGGAGGCCCCTCTATCCACACTAGTCAGATGTCTGAGACTGGTGGTCTGGGAGGCCCCTCCATCCACACTAGTCAGAATAGGCCCCTGACACTGGCGGTCTAGCCGAGGCCCCCTACCCTCACTAGTCAGAGGAGGCCCCTCTATCCTCAATAGTCAGATGAGGCCCCTGAGATTGATGGTCTGGGAGGCCTATCCATCTACACTGTAGTCAGAGGAGGCCCCTGAGACTGATGACCTGAGAGGCCCTTATAATCACACCAGGCAGAAGAGGCCCATGAGACTGATGGACTGAGAGGCCCTTCTATTCATACTGGCCAGAGGAGACCCCCAAAACTTTCGGTCTAGGAGGTCCCTCAATCCGGCACCAGTCAGAAGAGTCCCCTGAGACTGATGGCCTGGGAAGCCCTTACATTCACACTAGGCAGAGGAGGCCCCTGAGACTGATGGTATGAGAGGCCCTCATATTCACACCAGTCAGAAGAGGCCCCTGAAGCTGATGGCTGTGAGGCCCTTCTGTTCATATAACTGGCCACTGGAGGCCCCTGAAAGCGGTGGTCTGGGAGGGCCCTCTATCCACACTAGTCAGAAGAGGCCCCTGAGACCGATGGTCTGAGAGGCTCTTATATTCATACTGGCCACAAGAGGCCCCTGAGACTGATAGTCAGAGAGGTCCACTCCTAATGAATCTGAGGGGGCCCTCTATCCACATTTACACTTTTCTAGGGAGGCCCCCGAGACTGATGGTCTGAGAGGCCCTTTTATTTATACTGTCCACAGGAGCCCCCTGAGATTAATGGTCTGAGAGGCTCTTCTATTTATACTAACCAGAGGAGGCCCCTAGGATTGATGGTCTAACAGGCCCTTCTATTTATACTAGCCAGAGAAGGCCCATGAGACTGATGGTCTGAGAGGCCCTTCTATTCAAACTAGGCAGATGAGGCCCCTGAGAATGATAGTCCGAAGAGCCATGCGGCGGCAACTGGCCGTGGCTATATTACGGCTCGGTAGGGCCCCACAGAGCTCATGAGAGCACCCCAAGGGCTCCTAAGTAGACACGCTTATCCCCATAAGGATGCCACGCCGGCTTCTGAAGGCTCCTTGTAGGCATCTAAGGGCCCTTTCCGGCCTCTAACGGCTCCACCCGCCTGTGATGGCTCCACGCCAGTGTTTATGAGCGCCACACAGCGGCGCCTTTGAGGGTCATACTAGTGTCTCTTAGGGCCCTATATCGGTGGCTCTGGGGCCCCACACCGGCGCCTCTGTGGGCCACCACACCTGTGCATCTCAAGGCTCTATAGGTACATTTGAAGGACCCACACCGACACCTCTGAGGGCCCCACACCAGTATCTCGGAGCTCTGAAGGCCCGCAGTGACTCCGAGGACTCACCGGCTCCTGAGAGCACCATGTTGATGTCTAACGGCTCCACAAGGCCACTGAAGGCACCACACAAGCTCTCACTGAGCTCTAATGTCCATGTACCGGCCTCTGAGCGATTTAAGCCAGTGCATTCATAGCTCCACACCAGCAATTGTAAGAGCTTCACACTGAAGTATCTGAGGGTTCCACACCGGTGTCTCTAAAGGCCACATACCGGCATCTCTGAAGGCCCCATACCGGCGTCTCCGAGGGTCCACATCTGGCGGGCACCCATCAGCGACTGAAGGTCCCACACTGTCGACTCCGAGAGCCCCATCTGCGTCTGGGAGCACCTCTAAGTCTAATCTCTAAGAACCACAGCGCCTCCTCCGTACGAAAGATGGGCGTCTGCATGCCAAAGGGGAGCGGTTCTGAGACAGTAGGGCACCTACGTGCAATAGAGGGGCGCCTATGAAGCCCATAGGGGCGCCTCAATGCGAATGAGGGGCGCCTCTGAAGCCTACATATATGGGCGTCCACATGCAATAGAGATCTGCAGACTGCAATTGATCAATGCCATGGGGCCTTGGGGTGCATTCATAAGAAACAGGAGCGCCGGCATGGCAAAGAGAGGCGCCTTCAAGTGTCCATAAAAGAGAGACGTCTATGATAAGCGCACATTGTATGCGACAACGGGGCGACTGTGGGACACATAGGGATGTCTCTGATGACTATACACAGGGCGCTTATATGCCAAAGAGGGCGCCTATGAAGCTAATGGGGGCACCTGGGAAACGAGGAAGACATTTGTGTAAGGGTTTTCAGGGGTCATGCGCCGTTTGCGGCAAATAGATTCTTAAAAAAATCGGAGGGGGAATAAGTTTTAAAAATGGTGCGCGGACTTTCCGCACTGTTCGCTTAAAGGTAGTGTGCCAGCTTTCCTGGACCGTATGGAGTTAATGGCCCAGATAAGGAGAACCGGATTTTTAGAACTTATCCATACCTTCAAAACTCATGGAAACGTCTTAAATTCTTCACATTTTGAGTACCCCAGTGCGAAATTCGCCCCGACGGGTTGTCGGTCGTACCCCAACCACATTTCACACCACTATGAACAATAAATGCACACACTGAAATCGCTATTACCGATATGCTCATCCAATCAAGTTTCGATAAACCCGTTCATCATCATCTCCTGCGGTTTCGAACACGCCTGTTAGGTGGTGCGGTAGACCGCGCCCAAAGCCAGGGCCCCGGTAACGTGAGGTAGCCGAGTCGGGGCAGCGTGCGCTGACCCAAGCCGGGGCCGCGCGTCCTCCCGGTGTCATGTGATAGCCCGGGGCTGCCCGCGGGGATGCGGTAGACCGCGCCCAAAGCTGCGGCCCCGGCTTGGGTCAGCGCACGCTGCCCCGACTCCGCTACCTCACGTTACCGGGGCCCTGGCTTTGGGCGCGGCTTCTGCTCATACTTTGTGGTGCGTCGGGCCGCGCGCTCTGACTTCGGCCAAGAAAAATGCGTCAGCTGATCATTGTCATTTCTGCCACTTGCGTGTGGTGCAATGGGGTCATAACTTAAGAGACGGCTTTTTCATATCAATTATTTTACATAAAATCATATTTCAAACCATAAATAATGTTAGACAGCCAAATAAAAGAAACAATACCAATACAGGCTTACAGTTTAAGGCTCGACACTGTGTTGTCTACGATAAGACAGCTGATAACTCATTCCCGTACGTCGTAACTCTATAATGACCTTTGCTTATTGTCACATGTGCGCCGCATTCGCGATTGTTGCCGACGCCTGTTTGCAGATCAGCCCACTACCGTTGTTATACATATCGAAAAACCGATAAACTTTTAGGCGAAAAAGGCACTATTCCAGGCCCATTTTTGATTTTTTTGCGATATTAGGTAAAAACAGAAGCTTCTTATCCTAGGAAAAATAAAATGGGAAATCTTTCAAAGGTGGCACACTACCTTTAAGCGGTTACGCCCCTGGGTACATCTGCCCGAGCTCAGAAGCTAGATTTGGAGGTCATACTTGAAAGCAGCCAGCAGGACGAGGCAAAAGTTGGAGGCCCCTGAAAATAGGAGGCCCCCTGGAAAAGGAGGCCCCTTGACAGGGTGGCCCACCCACTTTTCATGACGTTCCTACGCCCGTGCTCAATGCTTTATAATCCACAGCTTCCTAGGTATCTGTCATAATCTCCAAACCAGGTGCCCAAGCCAAGCATTGGATCTCTGTCTGTCACCTACCTTGACAATTATGGATTGTCTCAACTGGTCCTAAATCAGTACCTACTTTGCCTTGTCAGCTGTCATTGCTAGTTGGTCATCCCTCTGCATATTACAGTGAAGCAGAATTAGTTTTCATCTGCTTATGTTGGCCACAGTTTAGGCTTCTAGGCATGGTGAACTTTGGTTCACACTTTGTAAGGATTCTGAACTTATGAATTGATCAATCCCACAGTCTGACTTCAGCAGCAACAGCAACCCTTTGAGCTTATAATAGGCTATAAATCCTACATTTCTCAAACACCATAAGCCATGACTCTACCATGACCAACTCTGTTTTCCCTGCCCACAGCGACCACCGGCGAGCCACCATGGCGCCGACCAAGAGCAACCCGCGGCGCATCGTCCGAGACACGGGAGAGCTGACCATCACTCCGACCGACATCACCGACTCGCCTCCCAAGCGAAACAGCGAGCGGCTGGCCTCCCAGAAGCGCAAGGACGACATTGTCAGCAAGATGGCGGAGATCTTCGAGGACGTGGCGCCGATGGAATCGAGCTCGGTGGTGGCCGTGCCAGTGTCCGAGGATCAGCTCCAGATGCCCGCCTGTGAAGATGAGCCGCTGCCAGGTGGGAGAGGGAAGAGAGAGGGGTGTGGTCTGGGGGAAGGAGAGCATGGAGATGTGGATCACTGGGATCGCGTATCGTTGAGCACATTCGATATATAATGCATTCGTACTTATGGTAACAACAGTCGTGTGCTGAAATGCTTATCCAATTAAACGGTTTATTTATCGGTTGATTTGTCGGTTCATTTATTTATTATTTCCTCTGCATCTGTTATTAGTGTTGACTTTGTTGACTACGTGCCTCAGTTCGCCGTCTCCCGACTGAGGTCTCCCGGTATTCCGCTAACCCTGCGCTGTTTGTCCCGTCTCGCAGACATTACGCTGATGCCGGTGGCCCGACGGGAGCCGTCCCCTGTGCCGGTCACCGCCGTGGCAGGTCCCTCCAGCGGCGACGGAGGCTACAATGATTTCACAGGTAAATCAGAGGGATGCTGTTCGGGCCAGGGGTAATGTTTGTTCATGGGGGGCCTGTGGTGTCTGTTTTATCTGTTTTCATCGGTGGTATTTAACGTGCTTCCCATAGAGATCTTATGTGCTTCTGACCTTATCTACCGCGCCCTCTGATCGCGTGACCTTGACCTCCGCGTCCCCTCTCCCTTGCTGATTTGGAAGGCCCTGCCACTGTGGAGCCATACAGCTCAATGACGCTGCTAAAATCGGAGCCGGCGCCCATCCCGGTGGACCTGAGGCCGCCGATGCGCGTGCTGGAGCAGGGCGAGATCCTGCTCTCGGACGACCCGGAGCAGGTGCGCGTCCTCATCGAGCACAACATCAAACTCAAGGGCACCATCACAGGTCAGTTACAGGAAGACAGTGTGCTGCGTTACTTACGATGATTAGAGTTTGGTTCGTTTCATGCACTCAATTCATACAGTAACGCCTAACAATTTTATTACTTATCGAGATTGTCATTCGATCTCTTATAGTGCGAGCAATGTTTTGACCTCTCCTTCAACATACCTAATTTAGTAGCAATAAATCTATGAATGTCGCACTGCGTGACCCCGGGCTGGCCGTCTCCGACCCAGTAGTTCCACCGTCGACCGGTAGGTGGCAGCCGTGTCGCCACCTGACCGTGCCCGCTGTCCGTTCCAGATGAGATGCTGGAGAAGGTGAACCGTCTGCTGGAGCACATATCGGCCGACAAGTGCCACTGCTGCGGCGAGAGCATCGAGACTGCACACAAGGTCAGTCGTGCTACTATGTAGTGATGGGAGTGGATCGGCTGTGGCCGAATCGTTTGTAGGTGGAGAGTGAGACCTATGGTTGCGGTGGCCTGTGACTTTCTTTGTTAGTTTGGGTATGTCGGAATGATTCGTTACCGTAAACCAGAGCAACTTTGTACCACTTTTTAGGTTTTTGTTGAATATCTTTTTTAATTGTTGTCCAATCTGGCTAGTTTTTTGCAAGGTGGAAGCTACAACCTTTGTCAACAGTTTGCTCTAGAGTAAAAGAATGCTAGCATCTTGAGTTATTTTTTTTTTATTGAACAAGTGGTCAAAGTTGTAGAGGGGTTTACAACTTTGTACCACTGATTATAATCCTATTTTATTCAATGCTAACGAATAAAATGGTATTTTACAGAGCATCTTTGGTCCACATAAGTTCTTTTAAAAAATATCCTGGCACACCAGGACTTCAACTGGCTGAAAACAATCACAGAAACACTGGTTTACAATGGGGCAACAGATTCACAGTGAACGGCTGTTCCGGGCTTTGGATGGAGTAAAATCACATGAGCACTCTGGCTTTTAAATGAGCGGCTGAGTAAGAACCACAAAACTCAGCACCTTCAGAAGTCACTTGACAGTTCTCTAACAAATGAAGGTGAATTGTCCACGGGTGCCAACCGGGATGGGAGGCTGGAGCTTGCGGGTGACATCGCTGAATGAGTAGGTAAGAATATCATCATGCCTAGGCCACTTAAACCTATTACCAAACTGCTCCATGGCACGGATCATATTGGATCATATTGATCTAATATGATCCGTGCCAAAATCATATTGGATAGGTATGGAATACAACAGGCTGGGAAATAATCTGGATTTGGAGGGCTAAAAATGAAATATAGACGCAGCAGCATAACCAATCGACTATCAACATCAATAACTTCCAGCATCGACTGTCATAAATGACGAAAAAAGTATGCTATAGTGATGAGAAGCTTCCTAAGAATGATTTCCTGGTGGACCAAAGTTGTAGCATTTTGACGGAAAAAGTGCTTGCAACTTTGACCACCACCCCTAAAAAATGACCATAAAAAGAAAATGGGGGTTTTCTTCCTCTAAGCCTTTGGAGAACTCATGTACTTACTGTGTAGATAGTCAGTGTCGCTCCAGTTCTTACCAGTTCCGCTCCTTACATCATCCTAGCAACTTCTGTTTTTTTGCGCCAAAATCAAGGCTTTTATTATAAAAATTCTGCTGCTGTCAAGGTCACACAACAAAAGCAGGTCTGTTCACACATAGTTAGGGCGCATATTGGGCTAAATTGCCTGCATGAAAAAATGTCCCAAATATTACGATGGATTTTTAAAAAAATCAGCAAAGTATCTTTTCCATGGTGGACCAAAGTTGCACCGATGGACCAAAGTTGCTCTGGTTTACGGTATGCTAGTATTTTATCGACTTGTGCGATGTTTATTCTCCGATTAGACCTGCGCTACTTAACGTGTCTAGTGTCTGCTCTGCAGGACAGCGAGATTCTCTAAAGACCTCATGCCCTATCAACTGACCCATTGCTACTTTCCCCACAGGGCGGCGAGTTCCTATGTGACGTACCCGACTGTCTGAAGACGTTCCGCCTGAAGTCGTCGGTGGACCGCCACAAGCGGGTGATCCACCACCAGGGAGACGTACACCAGTGTCCGCAGTGCGGCGCGCGCTGTGCTGACAAGGGCACCCTGGCCAGACACATGTACACCCATACCGGACTGAAACCCTACACCTGCGAGGTGGGTGTCTGGGGAGGGGGGAAGGGTATGATGTGACAGTGAGAGAGGAAGGGTTACCTGAGCTAAGGGATACGTTTGTTGTGCATGGCTAGTGGAAACGGGAGCCGCATGAGGATCAGTTATTTGGTTGGCGTTGTACTACCAATGAGTACTTTTCGGGCATCCATATCAACATAAAACTACTACTTGCCGTGATATTCTCACCCGTAACTTCCTTCTCCCGTAATATTTTTATCGGTTATGTGAGGGTACTTTTGCCTTCCAGTGAGGTTCGTGTAGCTAAATATTGGCGTGTGTTTTTCAGATGTGTAACAAGCACTTCAGTCGGAAGTACCACCTGGACCGGCATGTGATGCAGACGGGCTGTGACGGCAAACCCAAGGCCGCCTACCCGTGCCAGGTCGGTGGATGGAGTGGTCGTCAGGGCAATGCTGGCCAATAGTGCTGTCAGAACGGATGGGTTCCGGGGGCAATTTTTGAAGATTAGTCACGGCTCATTTTGGGCATTGGGCGGACTACCGACTGTTTCACGAGGAGGCTGCGTACTGCGTCTTTCGTTTTGGCCAGTGCTCGCTTTATACTATCGACTCATTTCAAATAACTTCTCAGCAATGAGCACGTAATTAACTCAATACAATGTTATTCTGCTAGCTACTAAACTGCAATCGGTTGTCATAATGACTGATGCTGAATTCGTGATCATTTATTGCTGCAAGGAGCCCGCCATTGGTGGCGCGGAAAACGAGGTAGGGTCAGTATCTCGCTAATGCATGGTTGTGTTACGAGTCTATCAGCTTGTTGACTGTTCTGCTCAATGTTTTTTTTTTCTTGGCATTTACCATTTGTCATTTGGGTTGTCTCCCTGCCAATTTACGGATCTGTTCTTTTCTGAATCTGGTCGAGCTCAAAAGCTCCCTTCTTTTGCGTGATGCGTAGGCAACTGTCCTGCTCTTAAAGTTAAAGTCCAAGTTTTTAAGCCTTATTTTGACGAAAGCTTCCTGCCACACACTGCACCCACACCTTGATTTCAGCGATGACTTCAACGGCCCGATTAATGCATGATTTTCCTGCACTGGCAATAGCCTGCACTACCCCCTCACTGTCATCCATCGATCCTTCGTGCCGCCCTTTGACCAGCCCCCTCTCATCACCGTCTGTCCCTCCAGGTGTGTGGCAAGATGTTCACCCGCAAGGACAACCTGAGGGAGCACCTGCGCGCGCACGCCGGCCAGGTGCGCCGCAAAAAGTGCTACACCTGCCAGTACTGCGAGAAGCAGTTCTACGGCTCTACGCTACTGCAGGTGAGCCCAGGTGGCCACTCTGAGTGCAACTTGATACAGGACAGCGGCCCCTCACGATTCACAGTTTTCCACCCTGTACTCTGGTAGACTGCTGTTTTTTTTGTGGCGCATATTTATTCGTTTACTTTATCGGATCTTCGCGGTTCTCCCGTCTCATCATAGATCCTGCTACAACGAAATCATTGTGGTACGTAATGGTTCTTCGACCATGACTATGCTTTCGCATACTCCGTACGAACTGTTTCGCTGCGGGTGCCGCCCACCGACCGTTCTCCGTTACAGGTGCACCTGCGGACCCACACCGGTGAGCGGCCGTACCAGTGCGACTTCTGCGACAAGAACTTCCCCTCCATCGGCTCCTACAAGAAACACCGTCGGATCCACACCGGAGAGAAGCCGTACGAGTGCAAGCACTGCGGCACGCGCTTCTCGGCTAAAGAGACTCTGAACCGGCACGTTCGTACGCACACGGGCGTCAAACCGCACACGTGCCAGTACTGCGGCAAGAGTTTCATCCAGGCGTCGCAGCTCAAGAGTCACATCTTCCACCACACGGGCCAGGGCGGCTTTAAGTGTCCGCACTGTGACCGCAGCTTCAATAGGAAGGTCCGGCTACGGTGAGTCGCAGTGGTCTACGGGAAGGGCGTGTTTTGAGCGTTTTGTTGACGTTTTGCTGAGGGACTTGTATGTTTTATAACCGCCATGGTTTGCACCATTGTGACCTTTGATTTTGAATTCCATGCTACCGTGTTCAGTAGCTCGCGTATTGCTCAACTCTCGATCGAGCTATGATATGTGGATGACATCTTGGCATCGTATGATTATCCAATATCCATGTTATGAATTTCGTAGTTTTTGTAACGTATGGGACTATGGGTTGTTTTCGCCAATCTACTCGGAATTACGTTGACGCCTGCTTGTTTTGCTTACCCCCCCCCCCCCCCTCCTCCATATCAATGTCATCAATGACTGACGGTTCTGTCGGCAACCGACACGCCCCTCCCTCCTGCCAGCTGTCACCCCTACCTACCTCACACCCTCACCTCACGCCGACCGTCCCATTCCATCGCAGGCTGCACGTAGAGTACGTGCACGAGGGCAAGAAGGGCTTCGAGTGCGAGTCCTGCGACAAAACGTTCGTTCGGAAGGAGGATCTGGCGCGACACTCCGTGCTGCACCAGGGTAGCAGGGTACATCGCTGCCCCATCTGCGAGAAGACGTTCGCCATCAAACCGTCGCTGAAAATACATTTACTGACGCACACGAAGGTGAGAGTCGCTGGGGTTAGGAACGAAATAAATTGCACATCTTTCTACAGGTCAAGTTATAGTGAATGATTACCCTGAACTTTTACAAGATGATTGATGAGTTATGTAGCAAGCTGGTTGCATTTTTTGGGCATTGGGAAAATATGTACTTATGGTCTTGCTAGCGCCCTTCCTCATGCTTCGAATTTAGAACGGTGCACTTTTTTTTTGCTTTTTAGAACTTAGCACCAGGAATATTAAACATCCGGATTGACTGTTCTCTCACCCTCTCAGGAGCCTCCCCGCTCCTGCGAGGAGTGCGGCCGGGCGTTCATCCGACAGGACTGCCTGCTCCGTCACATGCGGAAAAAACACCGGGAGATGCTCGACCAGATAATGGCCGAGGCCGAGAAAAAGAAGATCCAACAGCAGCTCAGCTCGCTCGAGGCCGTTGGTGAGTGGACAGTTGCAGCAGGGTCTTTTTCCTCGTTTTCCTGATATCTGGGTTCCGTTTGAAGTGAAAGTTAACACTACAGCTCCTTATGAAAGGTCTGATTTATATTTTGACGGGCCCACGTATTATCTAAAAATGACATATCATCAGATATGAGCAAGGAGAAAAACATTCCGGGCCGGCTGAATCTCCATGTGTCCCTGTTTTCGGCGACTAGCCCTATCGCCGGGACCAGTTGATCCCGCTCTCCGTCTCTAACCCTGTCTCCCTCCGCCAGGTCGCCGGGACCAGCTGGCGGCAGACGAGCTCGAGGTCCGCTCCAAGGGCACTCTGTCGGAGCGCGCGCTGGGCGAGGCGCTCCGTGAGCTCCTCTCCTTACTGGTGGACGAGGCGACGCTGCAGGCGTTCGGCCACCCCGACCAGCCGGTGGAGCAGGTCCTAGAGTCGGTCATCAGGCGCTGCGGCCACGCGCATATCGACGACCCGACCCTCTCCTACCCGGACAGACTCAGGTAGGTGGAAGTGTGGAAAGAATGGCAGAGGGAAAATATGATATGGGAAAATATAAAGTTTACATTCGGCGGGGAAGGGGCAGAGGGGATGCTGGATGCTGGTGCTGTGGGTTGGTGGGAGGGATATGGGTAAATGGTGGTTGTGATGCTTTATAAGATGGCAGCTGATAATCTAAGCAGAAGACCTTGTTACATGTTACGGTGTAGAATATTATCTTTCCATATATCTAACTGATCGCCCACCTCTCTCTAACGTCCCCAGGGAGAACGCGAAGCTGTTGTTCACGGTGGTGATCGACGACAACGCCGTGAAGACGCTGCTCAACAGCCAGACGGTGGATGAGGTTATACTGCACGTTCTGCGACTGGCCAAGTCCTAGGGACCGCCCTTCGTGACCGGTAGTGCCGTCTGTTGAAGTCCTGCGACTGGCCAAGTCTTAGGGACCGCTCCCGCGGGTGACCGGTAGTGTGTCTGGCGGAGAAAGCGTGGTGGATGATCGGCACACGGCGCAGGACGTGCTTGGATTCTGCAGGACACGCTCGGTGGAGTCATGGATGAAGTATTCCTGGATAGGACACTCCCTATTCCCCAACACTAGCGCCGGCGACCAAGCGGCCGCCCTGGTGGCGGAGCTCCGAAACATCGGCGGCGAGTGCGCCGGCGGCCGCCACACCGGCTTGCGTGCTAAAAACGCGGTAATTGAGGGCGAAATTAGCGAACTTTAGCTCATAAGACACAATTTCAGACACTTTAGACATAATTTTTAGTCCTTTCTTATAATCATTATGGCTCCATTTAGTCACTATCACATACGGAATCATTACGTGATGCCCATAAACTGAGCCGGTATTCTTGACTTGCCGATGCAATTTATCATCAAATATCATCGTTCCTCGGCAGTCAAACAAGCTCCTATTGATGATTTAATACAAATATCAACTTACTTTCATGTTATCGCATAAAACTTAACTTTATTCCAACATTGGCTCTTCGGCTGTAATCACGAACCCTCACTTGTCAGCAGAATTTAAGCAACTTCTTAAATCAAAACTGGGAAAAGAATATTTCCATGACATTCCTCAATTCCTATTCTACCTGGTTCACAAAAATTTTCATCAAAATCGGTTATAGGTAAGTAATAAACGACAAAAGTATACAAAAAGACACGCTCCGCCCATAGCCCGCAATGCTAAAATGGCGCCAGCGCCCTCGCCGTCGGGAAATCCGCCGCCGCCGCCGGGTGGTCGGAAAATCGGCAGAGTGTCCGATCCAGGAATACCTAATCCATGGTGGAGTTATGTATTAGGGCAATACAGCTGCGTGATTAGCCCGGAAAGGAAAGCGCGAGTTACATTGGACAAAAAGCAGGGGTGCTCACGCCGAGGAGGTTGTCGCTAAAAGGCACCAGGGATGTCGGTTGATGACAACGGTTTTGCATAAAGAGGGCCTCTGAGAAGCTGAAGCGATGTGATGATGCGTTTTAGGGTGGTTGTAGGATATGAAGCCCGGTGCACTTGCCCTAGATAGTGTACAAAACGTATCGCCAGTGGTCGAGACAGTGACGACTGAGGAATGATTGGGGGAGGGTTGTTCTATTTGACTGCCGCGGGTTTAGAGACTCCGATATCCGGCACCCACTGGGAGCCGACGTTCCTTCGGAAGATTTTTGTTTACTTGCTGTAGAGGAACCAATATCTACTTATGTTGTACGGTTTGACGGCCGGTGGCGCCGTGCCGGCCCATGTTACACGCAGTGACGGGCGGTGGGACTGGTCTCCCTCGCCGGGTTTTGATACATGACTTGTTTGACTGCGCTGTTACTATGCTCTCGGGGTCGTCACATCCACGCAGCAGCTGCCTGCGTGGGGGGGGGGGGGGGGAGTTCTATGTGGCCTTCGCCCGCCGCTCGCGTTGTTACATGTACCAGATGGTTTGCGCAGAGGGCGTGAGATGATATGACGCCACCCATTAATTGAACCATTCGCCATTTAGTGAGTTACGAGGAGACGTTTTGTAAAAATATAATTAGCCGAGGCGGATCGAGAAAGCGAGACGCTGAACTTTCTAGCATGTCTTATTCGCAAAATACAGATATGTCGTAAGAAGTGCAGTGTCCTTATCATGACAATACTATTGGTCACAAAAACATTCGCATAAAAGATCTTGCACATACTTGAGTACCACTACGTCGGTGCAACAGTCTGTAGTTGCACCATCAATAAAAGAGTACACCTCAGTCCTCACAGACATTTCACAGAAGAGATCAAATATCACGGGCCCCTCCCTTTACTCTCCCTCTCCGTCACAGTATCTGCACCCCACCTCTTCTCCTCAGCGCGCGTTTGAACGCCTCTGCCGCTGCTGCCATCGTCTGCGGGTCAGTCACCGCCTCCGCCAGGGCCAGGTACACCTCTCTGACCCCCAGCCCCGCCGGAGGGGAGGCTGCCGACTCGGGTGACCCTAACCGCGGGGATACCACTGGATCGGGCGAGCTGGCCGCACTGGCTGTCTGTGCTGTCTGTACCTCTGGCCGCAGCAGAGCGGTGGGTGGACAGGCCGGCACTCGGCGGTTACCCGGCCAGGCGCGGTATGTCGCCCAGAAGGCGCGCCGGTCCCTCGGCGGGGTCGGTGCTGGAGGGAGGCTGAGGGCGGCCGCGGACTGCTGGAGCGCGGAGAGACAGGCGTCCAGCGGCCAGCACTCCTGCGGGGGAGAGAGCGGTGAGGTCAGAGACGAGAGAGAGAGAGAGAGAGAGAGAGAGAGCGAGAGCGAGAGCGAGAGCGAGAGCGAGACAGACAGACAGAGAGAGGAGAGAGGAGAGAGGAGAGAGGAGAGAGGAGAGAGGAGAGAGGAGAGAGGAGAGAGGAGAGAGGAGAGAGGAGAGAGGAGAGAGGAGAGAGGAGAGAGGAGAGAGGAGAGAGGAGAGAGGAGAGAGGAGAGAGGAGAGAGGAGAGAGGAGAGAGGAGAGAGGAGAGAGGAGAGAGGAGAGAGGAGAGAGGAGAGAGGAGAGAGGAGAGAGAGAGAGAGAGAGAGAGAGAGAGAGAGAGAGAGAGAGAGAGAGAGAGAGAGAGAGAGAGAGAGAGAGAGAGAGAGAGAGAGAGAGAGAGAGAGAGAGAGAGAGAGAGAGAGAGAGAGAGAGAGAGAGAGAGAGAGAGAGAGAGAGAGAGAGAGAGAGAGAGAGAGAGAGAGAGAGAGAGAGAGAGAGAGAGAGAGAGAGAGAGAGAGAGGACAGATCAATCAGGAGGGGGGACTGAGAGAGCAATGAAGGCGCAGAGAGATGGGCGCAAGTGAGCTCAGTAGTCGGCACACCCCAAAGCCCCAATCAACAAATAGTAGAGCAGAGTAGACAGAGCGGCGAGAGCAGAGGAGAGAGTAGCGAGGGTGGGTCGATAGGAGGGTCCGGCCGCGGGAGGGTGGGAGGATGGATGTGGTGCCCGCACGCTGCATGGTCACCGACGGACGTATTATTGGTCAACATCAATCATTCCTCTCATCCAATACCTCGGACGGGAGGGGAATAACCCGAGTCGGTTGCTGAGGTCTATAGTCGCACAGGCCTTTTCCGTTTACTAAGTAAACATGCATGGCCGGCGATCATTGAGACGGTGGTCGACTTATAGCCCACATGAATTATTCGAGAGAGACGTGGCGGGTTATTTCAATCTCGGCCATGATGACCACCCACAAATCACAATCCCCTGATCATTACATATAGAGACACGCTCGGAAAAATGTTGAAATAATTTCACACCTACAGCTCCATGCTCCCAATCCGCTGAGAGGTGGAGGTGGCCCGCTTTGCGCCTCTCCTACCTCCAGCGGGTCGTTGAGCAGCAGCCTGGCGGAGGCGGCGTCCGCGGGCAGGCGGGCCACCATGGTTCGGACCAGGGCCTCCTGGAGCCTGGCCTCGGCATCACACGGCTGCCGGGATCAGTCAAGGCAAAATGTCAGTCAAGTATGTAAAATCGCAGGTTCAGGTACGAGAGGTGGAATGGGGTGCTAAAAATGCGGGCAAAACATGGCTTTGCGATAAAAACCACACAGCGATGCTGCTGCTGCAACTCGAGATTGACGATTTTTTAAAGAAGTTGGTGCTGAACTGAGCCCAGGTACTGTGCAAATAAAAAACAACAGGTCTTACCTATGACAAAATGAGCTTAACTGAAATATCATACAAAAGTGATACTCCAAAGTTCAAACCCATTACTTTGTAACCACAACGCACCACCTTCGGGCCGAAGTCATCTTGCTCAAGTCAGTAGCGGCGGAACACCTTCAATTAAGGGGGGGGGGGGCACTGCCGACTTTTGGTCCCATTCTTTCCATGCAACGCCCATAGGGCTAATGTTAAAATGCCAAAATCAAAGGGGGGCACGGTGCCCCGGTGCCCTCCCCGTTCCCCGTTCCGCCGCCTATGGCTCAAGTCGACAAACAGCCAGACTCACCAGTTCTATCCAAGTGTTGATGGACACGGAGGTTTCCAGGTTCTCCACCAGGTGCCACCAGTGTCGCGGCACCAGCAGTGTCTCACCGGCCGTCAGCTCCACGATATGAGGTCGTGTTGACACCAGGTCTGTGGACAGGTCCGGTCACAAAGTGATGCCGTGTCAAAAGCTACCATTCCGGAGCAAGTGATATGGTCGGAGTCCGATCAACAAATTGGCTCCAGAAAACAATTGGCGTCCAGAGACAGGCAGTACGCTGATGCTAGCATTCAAAGAAGTATTTTCAAGACACATCACCCAGTCAAGGAAACCGAGAAGCAGAATTCAGGAATACATCTTCGATGAATATAAGAGAAAGATAAGATAAGAAACACTGAGCAAAACCATAAAACATTCTTGTGCGCAAAAAAAAGCCTGACAGGACCTCAGATCAGTGCGCCATCTATCTCTCATTAGTTATTAGGAGTTAGGACTGATGACAAGTTAGGGCTTCAGGTCTGACCCGTTCCATGGCGTTGAGTTTTGCCCTGCTTCCTGACCTGGAAACTTGTTGAAGTCGGGTCGTCGCAGGTTGGCGGCGCTGAATACAGTCGACTCCTCGTAAGGCACCCGGGTGGGATACAGTCGGGGTCCATCCGAAGGCGGGAACAGCGTCCACCGCTTCCTGTACGGTAAGGAGGAAACGACGGGAGTAAGGTTGAATGCTATGAAGATTGAAAGGAGTTACTTTCGTATCAAGGCAAATAGGAAGCACAACACTACGTGAAAGCATGAGCCACTTCCCCAACGGAAGAATAAAACACGACAGAAAAGAAGTGTGCATAAATTTCGTAACAAAGCTTAACGGCGCTTCTCATTCATTCATTCACTAATTCATTCATTTGTTTATTCGTTCATTCATTCATTCATTCATTCATTCATTCATTCATTCATTCATTCATTCATTCATTGATTTATTCATTCGTTTGTTCATGGAGTGATGGACTTAATTATTCATTCATTCATTCATTCATTCATTCATTCATTCATTCATTCATTCATTCATTCATTCATTCATTCAACCGACTGCACTGACCTGCCGACCAGCTGGGTCACCAGGTTCAGGCCGTACTGACCTGCCTGAGGCCTGACCTGCCTAATCTGAGTTACTGACCTGCCGACCAGCTGGGTCACCAGGTTCAGGCCGTATGTGTCGCGATGGCAGAGTGTGTGAGCTCCGGGCGTCCCCAGCCACAGCGTGCTCTGTTCTGCACCCCGGCCAGGGAAGCCGAACATACTCCAGTCGATACCCTGGCAGCGATCATAAAATGAATGAATGAATGAATGAATGCAATTTTAATCTGTACAAGTATTGTATTGAGAGTACCTCAATGAAAGTCCACGATAAAAATAGCAAAAAAGTTACAATAGCCATACATTTCACTGTTTTTGATATTTATATCGTGGAATTTCATACAAGTACTCTCAATACGAATGAATGAATGAATGAATGAATGAAGGAATGAAGTGTGCTCACTTTATTATGGATGCTCAAATGTTCTCGTTAAGTATGCAGACAATGGTTAGATACCCACATGACAATGTGTTGATCCATATAGAAACATTGCTGTAAATTCTTGAGTACAAGTTGCCACAAACATGCGCATGAACCGTTTAAAGGGACCCTCGGTCCCACCTTAAAAAAAGTTAATGAATTGGCATGAAAGTGATGTCGCTCGGTTCAGAAAGAGCAAAAACGAATATCTTACAAATTTCATCGAAAAATATTCACCGGTTTTAGAGATATTAGACTTTTACTTTTGTTTACTTTTTGGGATCTCCGCTGTTCCTAGCGACTTTATTTGAAAGTGCGGCATTTGTTGCGCGCAAAGCAGCATATACCACAGCGTGCTACAAAACGTTTTAGTCAAACATTTAACGGACGTTCGAAAGCCTGATGACGTCATCAGATTCCCGTAATGGTTAAGAGATAGAGACCACGCTGGTCCCACCCTGCAAGTAAAGGGAAGAAATTTCTTGAACACCAAAAGCTGCGGGGGTTGCGACCAGGATAAATGGTGGTTTCTGAGCCTGGCCGCAAACTTGGCTATCTCAACTCAAAACTAATGTTAAGGTGGGAGGGTCCCTTTAAGGAATCCTACTTAGGCATTCGCACTAAAACACTCATTGTCATTTGCGACAAAAAAAAAAAACATAACACTCCATGTTCTACTCACAAGTTTCGCGGCCGCGTACGGACTATCGCCGAACTCCTGTGGTATGTGTTTGTAGGCGTAGTAGGCCCAGTGTGTGTGCGGTCGGTAGGAGGCCAGGGGTGACGGCTCGTCCTGCGAGAGGCGCCTCTTGCCGGGTCTGCCGGCCGCCCAGTCCAGCAACTGACGTACCGTGGCAGAGACGGTGACGTTCTCTGTCTCCCATTGAGGACCGGCTGCCTGAGGGAAGTGTGGCATACACAATGTACTGGATAGGTCAGCTAGGCGTCGGTAGGGAGAGGAGGGATAGAGGGTGTGAGCAATGGACTTGCTACACTTCAGCAGACCACAGGGTATGAAAACCCAATACCTATGCCTGAGGAAGGGGATTTGGCTCAAGTATTGCAAAGTTGAATTAAGTACTCCTAAAATAAAAGCTTTACAAACACAAAGTCCCTAACATTTACAAGATTCGATTCTATAGCAGTTTTACTCCAAACAAGCATGTAAGTCTATGATAGCATGCCATAAAAGCAACACTTACATTTTCCTCCTGCTTGCCTATTCTCAAACTCAGCTGCTTGTCTCCAAAGAAAGAGGCCCACTCTTCCAGGGACCATCTGGAGCATCCCCAGACATCCACCATAGAACTAAATACCACTGGATAGTCCAGATGGTAGAGAATGCCCTCTTTTAACACAGAAGGCTGCATGTTCATGACTTCTGGGGGACAGTAAAACCTGTGAAAAAGGAAGATAATGTCAGACTTGACAATCAGTAATACAAATTTATTCTAAAATATTAACAGATCCAAGCATCATACCTTTTTGATGCCTCATAACATATGATAAGGAAATTCAATTTTCTCCAAGAACTTAGCAGTAGTTTTTCTCTTCTGGCTCAAAGTGTGCAACCAAGAGGTTAATTTGAGCTGCATTATATCAGTGCTCCCTTTTGTTTCCCATATTGATATGCATAGGCACAGTTAGCATAATAGCAGTGGTTACAATATAGTCCATGTTGCCAATTTATTATTCATATTCATATTCATAATATGCATTTTGTAAATTAGTGTGCTTGATAGTTTCCAGCTGCATCATATTTAATTTATTGATAATGAATTATGAAAGTCACCTTATTGTTTAAAATAATTTCTCTCCATGCTGAAAGCATGTTGTCAGACAGTTCCAGTACTACTTTCTTTTCTGTAATTTCATTTTTCCATTGAACACAAAACACATTTTCATTTTGTGCATAGGTACCTAAGTGTATTTTGATTTGCTATTATTTCTTTGATTTTCACAAACTTTCCAATGGAAAATGTGTCTCATGTTCCAGTACAGAGCAGTCCAGATAATATCAGTGAGTGGGTATGGTCATGCCAGGCTTTAGTGTCTGGTGAGCTGGTACCTGTGCTAACTTGAATGTTTACTCCACTCCACAGTAGGTACAAATTTTAATTTCCTAATGGCTCGTCTCAAATTAACTAGGCCACTTAACTGTACATATCTATATGTCTTGAAATATAAATAGCACAATAAGAAATATTGAGTAAAATTTGGTATAGGATTAAACAGTATGACAAATTATTCGAAAAAGGCATTCAGATTCTTCATGCACGCCATAGGAGGCGGAACGGGGACACCAGGGCACTGTGCCCCTTTGATTTTGTCATTTTAACATTAGCCGAACATAGGTGCTGCATGGAAAGAATGGGACCAAAAGTTGGCAGTGCCCCCCTTAATTGAAGGTGTTCCGCCGCTACTGATGCACGCAGTAATTTGAATTGTTATGCTAAAGGCGTTGGAGGCATTGCACTTCAACTTTGACTTGCACTGCCCTGAGTTTGAGTTGGCATTGCTGATTTGTTGACAATCGCCCATTTCGACTTGTCCTGGCTAATGACGCTCAGTCACAGCAAGCAAAACCTGGAAGAAGCTAAAAACGTCTATCTCACCGAAAACGCTGAAAAATACCATCTCATCTCCACTTCCACAAACCCCCCTGCGCCCCCTGCCAAATTGAAATACAACACGACCCACACACACGTGCTTAGAATCGAATTGTAAACATAAGGTTTCGACCAGATTGAGAACTAGAATGAGCAACGGTATTTTCCTACTTTTCATTTGTATTTGAAAAAGTTAACATTTAAGGAAACGAAATCTCACATGACAAGTATAAAAAAGGTGTTTTCATCGTTAACTAAATATAAAGCAAAAGTATCTTTTAAGCATAAACCAAAGAAAACTAATTTAGGCTAGATATTATATTGTGAGTTCTTTGACAATATAATTGGTACATCGATGATACACCTGATACGCTTTTCAATCATACAATTTCAAAGAAAACTTAGTTGAAAATTATTCTGAGCCATAATATAAAAAAAAATCAGCAACAAAACTCCTGTGTCCTAGTATATACTAGTAAAATGTTGATAAATCAATACAACAACGGCGCACCTGATACAGGCTGGCGCACACGGCTAGCGGGACTTGTTTTGGTGGCCGCCCATTTGCGCCGTCTGCTGTGGTGGTGTTGGGTGCGCGGTGTTGTGCTCTCCGATTGTGTGCGGAAGGGCTGTGACCGTGTGTAATAACCAAAAATAAATCGCGTAGGGAGTGAGGTGTCCATCCGTGGCTACCAAACTTGTCCGCAAGGTGCGTTATGTGTGCTAGTGAAGTGCGATGTCAGTGTCCGCTGTCATGTCAATGTGGCACATGCAAGCTGAAGTTAATTTCCGGTGTTTGATTCTTTCCCGCTTCTTTGCTAGTTGTCAATTGTCATACTGTTGGTTGTTGTAGCCTCAGTTCACGACAGTCAATATCTAAAGTTATATGTATCATGGGACACGCGGCTATACCAATATCGGCATCGAATCCCACATATCAATATCCGTCTCAGACTCTCAGTCTGCTATTATCCCGTGCTATCCATGCCCCTAGCCTTTTTTGCTTATGTACCTACGATGTGAATAAGATATCGATTTATTTCCAGGTCGAGTTAGGTATGAGTGATCGTACGGTGTGTTTCATGTGAATAAGTCGTATTTATATGAGTCGTATGTATATCTTAAGGGATGATCGTTAAAAAATAAACTCACAACGTTTTATTCCGAATATGACAAAAACAAATATTAATAGGAGTTATAACAGTACCTTATTTTCGTTTCCAGGTTCAGCATTTGTAAGCAAGGAGAGTCACAAATATGAGAACTAAATACGACTTGGATGCATCCAGAGAGGGTGAGTTTGAGAAACACACCGCTGCCACATGTTATCCGTAATGCTGCGGCACGGGACGTGATCTCAGAAGCTGCTCCTGCCACCCTACGACCTACCATCCTCTCCTCTCAGGCTCTCGCCTTGCACCTTTGGCTTTCCGCTGTCTTCCCGCTGCTACCAAGCTTCCATTCCACTCGTTTATTTCTAGAGCCGTATCACCATCTCTCCTACTTATGTCGAGAGAAGCTTTGTCTTATCTCTCGGTTGTGTTTGGATAGATCTGCACCGTCATCCATTTGTCTGGAGCTGCGCCGTCATTCCTTCTTTTGTGTGTTACCTATGTGTATGGGCTTGTCTCAGAGAGGTTGCCAAAAGTTTAGTCTTGAAACTCTTGTCACCATCATCCGTTTGTATCTCGACCCGTTCAGCACCCCCCCCCCCCCATCTGTGTGCCTGGAGTCGGCGCGGGCCCCGTTCCGGTTGGCAGTGCAGCCAGACCCGCCTGTCAGCCGTCTGTGGATCTGTTCGCTGCCACCTGCTGCTGCCAGCTCACATTGTGTTCGGACCGGTGTCAGACACATCGTTCAACGGCCTCCGTCAGTCTCCGATACACGGGCATGGGCGCCGCCACCGGGGGGGACGGGGGGGACGCGTCCCCCCCACTCTCAGAATGGAAGGGGGACGTCCCCCCCAAACTCATTACGGAGCGAGCGAAGCGAGCGTAGTCTTTCGGGAAATTTCTGAATTCTGAGTATGAGCGGCCGGCCGTGGTCATGCTTTTGCGAGACTTATATCTCAGGAACCACTTGACTTATTTACATGCGGTAATTTTTGTAGGGTAGCTTCATTCCTTCTAACAAGCATTGAACTATTCTCGATGCATGTGGGTGACCCATTATGCACCTGCCACGTGAAAAACGAAGAGGTCAGTTTTATAACAATTATAATATCTCCGTAACATACTGGGCCGATTGCGCTGAAAGTTGGCATGTAGGTAGGCACCCACTAGGCAATGCATATCCTTGACCATGTGCCACAGTTGGGGGTTGCTGCTGCACGTGCGCACATGCAGGGGTCGATTCCAGATCTCGAGAACGGCTGAACCGATTATGCTGAAAGTTGACACATGGTTAGGGAGTAGGGACCGGTTAGTAGGGTGCAGTGCACAAGTTGGTTGGAGGTACCCCCTCGCAATTTCGTACGTGCAAGGCCCACCCCTCGCTCGCTCCGTTGGTCGCCCCAAAAGGCGTTTTACTAGTTGTTTTCCTACTCGAAATTTGATTAGGCCCTTCGGTCCAATGAGACCATTTCAGAGCGGGAGGATGAAAGAATCAGTGGGAGACATTGGTCTGGGCAGCCACGCCAGTGAGCCACTTGGGCTGAACCCGACCAATTGAACAGGCAGCCCAGCCCACTGGCACTCACTGCACCCGGCAAAGGACTATAGCTCCAGTGGAGCCATTCCCGCATGGGATAAAGTTGCCCGTCCAGCCCGGAGCAGGGGATCGCGGCGTGGAGGAGAAGGATTTGACTGTCCTGAGGATGGAAGAGATCGAACGGTGCCGAATCTGAGAGGGTCCAGGAGGTTTAGATACTCAGTATATGGGGTATGGGCCTACATGCATTGGTCTGACCCCTGCCACCTCGGCCAACAAAATCTCCAGCTCTTATCCGACCCGTCATCGCGGAACTGCCGATTTTTGATATCGTGATCAACGTGTGTCGCATAACACGACTGGCAGAAAACGGGCATAATATATTTCGTCTAACTAGCCAAGAGCATGATTTTAAACCAATCCGACCTCGGAGTCAAAATCCGAACAATTTCGAAGACTTCAACTCCGACTCTGGCCAAAACTTTCACTCCGACTAATTTCGGCTCCGACCCCACAGTTCTGCAGTCACACTACACTAAATTTTCAGCTTCTAAGAAATAAGCTATACCTACCGTTGACAGGACCACAAAACTTTGAGGCGACTTGACTACTTGACTTGGTGACCTGACCTAAAGTTTTCTGGTATCAAACTTGTTAAACGGGCTGCAAAATTCGTATTTTGGAGCAGTTTTGCCTGATGTTTTTTTGCCAATTTTCGCGGCGCTTCGCGCCGATTCATGCACAAACCAGAAAGAGAGATTGTAACTATACAACGCCTCCTCCCCCACGCGGGTATGCATCCTATGCAATATGCATTACCGATCAGATTAGTGGCATACATCAGCAATTATACCCTGATAGAACACTAGAGGCTTTGCCGTGTCAAAATTGAATCGGACATCAGATGTGTATATAGGTAGGTACTCGGTGGGAATTCGGTCTCGGGACTATTAAAGGAAATACCTAAACTACTTTCCTCAAACCAGTTGTTTTGCCACAGGTTTATGAGTCTTTATGCTTAAAATGGTCAGGAAATAACATAATGAATATTTGCAAAAGGATTTTATTTTTATTCTTACATAAGAAGTTAAGAACCAATTACCGTCTTTCGTAGATGCCTGATATTGCAGCGGAAGCTGATTACGCGTTGGCCAATCATATAACGTAGTTCAAACCAGCTGAATGCTGATTGGCTGGTATTTTTCCGTAAGGGAATGGATTCCTCGGCAAGGGTCTTCAAAACCTAAGTCTTCAAACCTAAAATCGATACCGATATCTTTGGCTAGGGTGATCGTTGGGCCATAAAAGCTCCTGATTTGTTCTTGTCTCAGCTCAGGCTACAAAACACCCAATGTTAAAAGTGGCATATTTGCTTTAAACTTTGAATGCATCGGGCCGAAAAAGCCACGGTAAGAATGCCTACTTTTGGGTTTTCAGTCGGTCAGTCCGTCCCCCCCAGTCAAAAATCCGTGGCGGCGCCCCTGTACACGGGGCGCTATATGGGCGTTTGTGGTTCGCTTACGACGCAAGATTGTAAGAGTTCCCACATGTTTTATGTATTTCCCACACCTCATCCGGTCTAGCCCCACCGTACCCGTACACTTTACCAGATCTGTTTCGCATTGCCATTAGTTCCTGTGTTGGCTATTTGGGGGGTGACCAGAGCCCATCACGGCTCCGTGTACCAGCTATCACGGCTCCGTGTCCCAGGTCCAGAAAGGCTGGATACTCCAAATCCCTTGAAGCGTTGTCCTCCTATCCTATACCACCCAATATAATTTAGCTCTCGGTAACCCGTAAACGTGCAATGTGCAGTCACACCATGGAATATCCCATGGCCATATAGCCTCAAGTCGCGCCGTCTGCCCTATATTCATCCCATACCCTTTGAGCTCCGCTCTGTTCCGAGGACGGAGGAACCATCTCTTGCCGAGTCGGACCGTCACGTGTCCTCTGTTCCCCAAGCTGCCGGCCGGGGCCGTTATGCAGCTATCACCGGCAGACCATGTCGGATGACGTCCGCAATGGTCGTTACCCGTCGGACTATCGTGTCCATTCCGCTCAGAATGGTGATGTTTGGCACCGTGATGTCTCGAGTCTCATTTCGGCTAGCTGGTCGTGGATGGCATTCCTGCTTCCTTTATCGTCGGCCGTGTCGTGCATGGACAGCGCGATACATCGGCGTTGATGGTAAACGTCCTGCGCATTTGTGGATGTTGGAGGTGGGAAGGAAGGGAAGTTGATTGGCTAAGCACGCCTAAGCTTTCCAAGTCTGAAAAGTCTAATATATTCAAAAGAATATCTTTAAAGCATCGAAACAATGCATATTCAGCGGGACTATTTTTCCAAGTCGCTCTTCATCTGAGTGTGAAGTTGCGCGCAGCTGAGCCGAGTCGGACCCTCGCTGGACGACGTGGCAGGAGTCCCACTCCGTCAGTGGTCGCGCTCCGCTCCTGTAATGGTCGCGCTCCGCTCTGTGAAACGGTGAAGGATGACGGCAGGCGGCGCCGGCACCTTGCCAGCAGTCCGCTCAGTGCGACATGGGACGGTCAGGAATGGTCCGCGGCGGACTGGAAACCGGCGACGGTATCAGCAGCATCGCCGTGCAGTCGTGGAGCTGCGCTATGAGTGGGAATGTTTGCATGTTGTGCCGACCAACGCCCAGGGATTTTCGTTTCTTGGAGCTAGCTTGGAGCTGAACTCCCTCGGGAAGGGCCACACACGACGGCAGTTCAGGGAGGTCAATCTGGACAATTAGTCATTTCGCCTCCGGTTATTGGACACAAGACTAATAGCCGATGCGGGCGTCGAAGGCTAATCATCATTTACGTCATGAGGCACGTCACTAATCGATATTGACATTCGTGGCGTGCCCCAAACCGGTGCGGTGCCCGGGCCGTTTTAGGACATTCGCCACAGGGCGGTTTGATGAGCAATCAGTGCTTTGACGATTCCAAACTTTGCTGAAATTTCATCTCTTGCGTATGTAGGCAGGTTCAGGAGTCAGGATAGTTATTAAAATAGCTTTCATTCAGTTTAATGAGCGGAAAGTGACGCGTGACTGCGATGCTTGGGATCGGGCTGTCGTTGAGATCAGTCATTTTCATATAGTGCCGCCTTATATGTTCGATCATAGCTCGATTTCGATCCTTCCGCAATGAATGGGTAGGTATGAAATAAGAGGGTTATAACATCGGCATGTTGTGTACCAGGCAGGTGTTGAGGATACCTATGTACTGTGTCGACTACCAATTAACAAGAGGTTATACTTGATTGATGGGCTTGCATCACTTCCGGCACATGCTCATCCATGATCAGTCACTGTTTTGGCAATAACTGGCCCGGCAGACAAGTCTGTGCAGATTTTATTGATGTGGAAACTATACCCACATTTTATCATGCTCGCTTCGATACCTCAGCGGACGTTGTTGAGGGCCGATTGTATTTACCGATCGTCTGACTGAAGGGCTTTCCACTCAGTGCATCAGTGTGATTGCAGCATGGCTCAGTCATGCCTATAGTCTGTTCCATATCAACCTTGCAGTCGGAGTTTCTTCGGCAGATCGCTCCTCCGCTCAAGAATTTGTGCTTAAAATGTATGAGCTGTATATACAGAAATCACGCACTGTTTTCAGGAGGGTACTTCGGCTGCAAGCTTGAAACGGAACAGAGTATACATATTTGTCTCATCACTGCATGCCTTATTTATCCTCCATTCCTGTTGAATTGCTCTGATGACTTGGAAAGGTAAGAGAAGATTCTGAGGTTTACCGCTTTCTACTGATAGTGGGTTGATTCGATGAAATGTCAATTGTGTGTGGTTATGTTTGCCAAATGTATCTTCGACGGCTCTGTGTGATTTACTGTGTTGGATGCGGTGACTGTGCCAACATCGGGTTGATGGGTGTTGATGGGTGTGTACGTACATAAACTTGAAGAGTGCCCGTGCCTGTTAATGTATGTAAATTGTAACGATGAGTGATGACTGCAAACCTTTACCAAATATGGTATTGATGTGTTCCTCAAACGGCGCTATGCACTTTTATCTCTAAGGTAACCTCTAATTTTACCCCGAAACATGCCTAAATTCGCATTTGAAAATGCACTCTGACTCCACCCTTTGTAAAAAACGACCTGACTTCGTCTTTAGAGCTGACCTGTGACTCTCTCTCTCTCTCTCTCTCTCTCTCTCTCTCTCTCTCTCTCTCTCTCTCTCTCTCTCTCTCTCTCTCTCTCTCTCTCTCTCTCTCTCTCTCTCTCTCTCTCTCTCTCTCTATCTCTCTCTCTCGACACCCCCAGGTGACCGGAGTCAACTATCGTCCGAGAGTCACCCGTTCGTTGACCCGGCATCCGCGCCGCGTCCTCTGGTGTACACGCCTCGTGACGAGCCGGTCAAGCTGAGCCCCGCGTGGGAGGCTAGCAACGTTCCGCCCGAGCAGCTCAACTTTCTGGACGTGACGGCGGAGAAACTGCCGGACGACGAGCCGCCCCACGACAGGTGAGGACAGAGCAGGGTGGTGGTGTGTGGTGTGTGGCGGTAGTCGTGGTGGTGTGGTCGTTTTTACAGGCAGTCGGGCTCGGAGCTAGGTAGATTGCGAGTGGTGATATGGACGGTATGAGACGAGGACGAGAGCAGCATCAGTTTGTCACGTTGTATAGGCGATCTTGCAACAGATCGAGCAGCAGTTTACAAGCGTTTTGGACTTTCTCAGCCGTTAGTGCGGCGACAACGGAACATCGCGTCGTACATTTCACCGTGTTGTCTGAGGGGCATTAGCCTCACAGTCGCAGAACAGTCATAAACTCTTTCCCCGTAATGTATTTTCGTAACGTGTATGGCGAGCACATTCTACAAACAACGTCTAGGCTTTTCGTTCTGTCAGCCCAAACCACGGCTCTTTTCACCGCTAACGCTCGGTTTCTGAACACAAATACCTCTCAGCTGCAATAGGCTGCCGGGCGGGAACATTTCCGGGAGGATTTACAGAGCCATATGGCTGTCGGGCTCTGAACGGCCGCCTCTGTAGCTCGGTTTCTGGGGCCGTTTATCCCACGGTGCGCTCGTGGTGGCTCGACCAGCGATACCTAGCCGCCATCATCTGTGTGAGCGGCCGCCGAGCCCGCCTTCCGTGCCCGATTTCGATCGCGATTTCGATGCAGGCGCCTTGGCGGCCAGGAAAGTCGTCACGCAAGCTTAGGAGCCGCGGTCATTGAGGCCATGCGGGAAGCCCGTACTGGGAAATGAACATGAACAACAAGGGACGTCAAGGTGTGTTAATTATTACTTAATTTGGTCCTTGTCTAGTATAAATGTGCTCTTCCGAGTTATGTGGACACATTTGCATGTTTGGTTTTGTTAGACACAAATGGCATGCATACTTCTCGTATTGTGGGCACCATAACTCGTTCGCCCAATGCGCGTCTTACTACAGTTAGGTTTGCTGTGAGTTTTCTGCAACAGCTCGTTCCCTTACCACCAGCGTATGAGCGTCGGGTGTTAGGCAGCTCAATTCAGAGGATTCTGCCGCCGGCCGGGCTGGCCCGCGATTCGACTGGCCCGTCACCCGACCGACTCATGGCCGGCCCGAGGACGGCACGTCACTGAAGGAAAGTGCCGTAGCGGACCGCCCAGAGTCCGCAGCGGGTCGGCGGAGTCCGCAGCGTGGCGGCGGAGTCCGCAGCGGACCGGCGAGCCGGCGGGCGAGCGACGGTCAACGGTCCGTCCCGCTCTGACGGCCATCAGCCGCTCCGGTGGACCGGCGGACCGCCCTGGCTGACGCGGTCCCGCTGCCTGGCTAGGCCCGCTCACCGCTGCTGTAGTAAATACCGCTGTATGTGGCCATGTAGCTCCTATAACGCTAGCCAGCCCACGCCGCGTCGCGCCGGGTCCGTCGGTGGGCGGGCGGGCGCGGCGTCGCGCGGCGCTCGGCTTTGGCCTGCCGCGGTGGAACACGTCAGCCCGCCCCTAAATGAGACAGCACCGGCGCGGTGTGGTGAATGGGGCACGGTGACGGGCCGTTCGGACCCAACAGCCGTTCAACTGTTGAACTGGAATTGAGGGTCGATGACGACTTGGCTGCCGGCGGCCCATTGAGCTGTAAAAGCTCGCTGTTGAAAGTGTGAGCTCAATTCGGCTGCGGCCGACGGTTGGTGCGAGGTCTGAATGTCAACCGACGCGACAGCTGCTGCGGCGAATGGTCGGCCGAATTGTCGATGGCTTCGCCGTCCTGACAGATCGGCTCGGTCTCTGTCTGGGAACATCACGCCGTTGAAGCGACGCACTGATTGTCCGCAGTTCAAAGGGTCGGACAAACACAGCCGTCACTTGTTGCGACGTCGTGAACGTCGAGAATGACAATAGGCGAGGAGTTGGGGCGGTGAACGTCGTCCGACGACCACAAAAAGCGGCAAGTTGCATGCATTGCAAATGTAGAGCGGCGCCTTCATTTCGTGGCCTTGAAACTCGTGTTGTTGGCTGGTAAGCGTGCTCTAGGCCGTCGCAAAACAAAGAATGACGGATGGGACGATGCGGACGACTTTATTGGCCAGGCGACGCAGCAGACAGGTTCACTGACAGATGTGAGTTTCCCAGAACAGAGAACGTTTAGAGCTGGGCGGCTTTGGTTGTCGGGACTTGGACGCGCCGCCGGCGCTCGACCAGCGGAATGATAATGTGTCAACGTCATGTCACAAAATCTTAGGTCGGAAAGGGAAGATCAAAAGATGCTTTTCAGGGTTAAGTGTCGTATTTGTGTGTCGCATCAAAGCGAGGAAACAGTCAGAAATGTAGACGATGCAGTGGATCTCCTTTGAATGGGAGTGTGCTATTGCAGATCGTGACAGATCTCTGCTGTGGAATGTCGTCTGAGGAAGATCTCGCGTCGAAATGGTCCTCATTTCAAACTTCCGAGATAACTTTTGGCGGAGTTTCCTCCATGTCAAGGGGATTCAAATTCATCTCAAAGAGAGGTTCATTCATGACTGGTACGACTCTGAAGTTGTCAGATGACTCCAAGTCTATTGCATCCCGACCACCCCAAAGTTGCTTAGCTGGTCGTCAAGTTGTGTGTGCTTTCAGACTAAGTTTCTGGCCAGGTAGTCGGACTGAGCCGAGTCGTACCGCTGAAGGCTGTCGGCACCCGTAACGGGCCGCTAGTCGTCTGCCACAGGTGTTCCGTCGCGTCCCGGCCCGCCGTCTGGTGTACCATGCCAACAGGCCGTGACATCCTCCCCCACCCCACCCGCCCCGCCCCCGGCGGATAGACGCGGCACGTGGGCCAGCGCCGGGAGGGGAGGGGAGGAGGTCATTATGGCCAGCGATTGTTGACCCGAGAGCGGCGGGACACTCGACTTACCGATGATTCAACATTGGCAGTACTCGACCACTGATGACTCAACATGGGAGCACTCGACGTCCGGCGTTGGCCGCCCATCGGGGGTTAGATTGGGACTCGGTGGTACTTGAAGGATAAGTCAGCAATACAGCTGTTCAATCGCAGCGAGCTCTTCCGACGTGACTCGATAAACTTGACGTGACTCTGCAATGACTCGGTATGGCACGCTCGTCGTAGCTCACTCCTGCACGCCCCCATTTGAAGAGTAACAGTCGCTATCCGTCCGTGACAGCTCGTGACGGCAGAGCGATAAAGCGGCGGAAGAAGAGCAGTGATTGGCCACGTGCGTCACGCTACTCCCCTCCTCTCTCCTTCCCATGTCTTCTACTCCTCCCTCTCTCCCGAGTCGTCGACCCATGGCGCCCTCCGACACAGCTGGCTGCTTCCGCGTGGCCTCTTGTCGACACCGCCGGACCGACGCGGCGGGGCGGGGGTGTCAGCTGAGTATTGATTGTCACGTGATGCTCGTCGGCGCCGACGCTGTGCCGACGGACGCCGGCGCCGGCGCCTCGGAGGAGCCCCACGTGGACTGTGGTCCCGTCAGTACCGGCGGCGCGCCGGTCAGGTGGGCCGTGCGGGGTCACGGAGGGTTTGTGCGCCGACTTGACCTGATCTGACCTGACTTGACCTGGGTTGTAAGTTCCTGGCCTGTCCCATCCTGTCATTATTTTCTGGCAGGACACGCTCTGCGTCGATATGACCGAGTTTGACCTGGCTTGTCCCGACCTGACCTGACGTGCCATTTTCTGTGTTTATATTAGCTTATCCGTCCTGAGCGATGATATCCTGCCCTTCCATTTCCTGAACTGTCCTTCGTCCTTCCCTTTTCTGCCCTGTAATAACTTTCAAGTCACCCTGTTGTGCTCTGAGTTCCCGCTATATTAGTCCATCGATAGTGCTAAGTCATACCTCGGCGCCGCGCGTCGCCCAAAGTGCGTGCGTCTGCGTGTGTTTGTGTTTGCGCGGCGCGGTAGGTCGGTCGGTGTTTGCGGCGTCGAGTGCGTAGGAGGGCGTGGGTGTTGGCGGAACTGAACCGCGGGGCACCGGCGCCGTCCCGCTCCCGTCAGCGGACGGCGGACGGTGGGCGGTGGGCGGTGGCTGCGCCGAACAGCTGGTGGCTATCGGGGGCAGTGGGCGGAGGGCGGCCGGGGGCGGTGAGACCGGGTCAGCCACCTGTGTGCCGTCTCCGCGGTGTATGATGACCCCGGCGCCACCAGCCTGCCACGCCCCGTGTCCATCTGTCTCGGTACTCTGTCTAGCTGCCACTCCTCTGTCATTCATCACTCTCTCTCTCTCTCTCTCTCTCTCTCTCTCTCTCTCTCTCTCTCTCTCTCTCTCTCTCTCTCTCTCTCTCTCTCTCTCTCTCTCTCTCTCTCTCTCTCTCTCTCTCTCTCTCTCTCTCTCTCTTTCTCTCTCTCTCTCTCCCCTTCTCCCCTCCCTCCCTCCCTCTCTCTCCATCTATCTCTCACTCTCTCTGCCCCTCCTTCTCCCTTCCTCAATCGTCCCCAGCTGTTCAGGAGGTCTCCACCTTCGGTCATTCGACCCAGCTGTCCTTCCGCTGACCGCTCCCAATATCTGACCTGAATACATATCCACCACAGTAGACACTGGACAGTGCGTGGCAGCGCCTCATATTTCCTCACCATTCCCGAACGGCGCCGAGTGTGAAATTTACCGCCCATGGGCAGACAGTTGGCGACTCGTATTCCCATGACCCTCGACTCGGCGCTCCCCGCTGGCTGGCCCTGTCTGCCGCGGCGGCGGCGGCCGGCGGTCTCAAGTTCGGCGCCAGTAGCGCTGCTGCAGTGCGCACAGCGTCAGTGCTGTGCTACCTTTTGCGAGAGGAGGTAGCGTCGTGTGTGTGAGCGTTGTTATAACAGCTGTGCGAGGCGGCGCATTACGCAAGTGCGAGATCGGGCGTGGCGTTTGAGTGTTTCGATGGTCCGGTCGTTCGTTCCTAAACCTTCCTCGCCCTCGCGTGGTCCTGGCTGGAACGACCTTGGCACGAACCCATCCCCTAATGGCGCGTCCTACGGGCGCATTCCGGCGCGCCGGGCGGCATAAGTGGCGCTCTTTTTGCCGCAGTGCGGACGGCGCGACTTTGAAACCGCCCGACCGCCGCGGTGGCGGCAGCTGCGATGCTCGGAGTTCACTGCAGACTGTAGTGCTCTCAGCCGCGACCGAGTGGGCCGGTCGGCCGGCCATGCTCGCTGCTGTCGGACGACCTTGCCCGGGGCCGGCTGGTGACGTCCGACACGGGCTCCCGCTGCAGCCGGACGACTGGGCACCACCGTGCAGTGCGGCCTGCCGGTTTGAGACCGTGGGGCGTGGGCGGTGGCAGTGGGAGGGTGGGAGAGGATGTGGGTACGACGGGCCCGTAGCAAATCTGGCGGTGACTTGTGGCCTGTGAGAATTTTGCAAGGCCATGAAGCTGAGATCGAGGCGGTGGGGGATGGTGGACACTATGTAGACTGAACGCTGAACGGCGGGCACGGCCGGTGGTTCTCCAGCCGCGTCTGGTCTAGCTCCTTCCCACCACTTGCCACCATGGCCCGGCGGTAACTCCCGGCTGGTCCGAGTTATGAACCACTGCGGTCATCCATAACTTATTCTCCCGACCGCTGGGCCACCTGCTCCCGACCGTCTGAACTTACCGGCATCCGATGCACAGCTGGCAGGCGCTGCCAGCCGGCCACCGTACCCTCAAACAGGGCCTTTGTAGAACCAGTCCCCTTGGCACCGGAGGCCGCCGCCTGTCCGAACCTACACCGGACGGCGCGCCTGTGCTCTTTGTAGCCGGCCATTTGGCTGTCGGCGGATGGCGTTCGGTGTTCTGGTTCCCAGCAGTCCAGTCCTCCCCTGCCCTTCCCAGAACAGGGCCGGCGATTTTATGGCGGTCTGGCCTTGGGTCCCACCGCTCTCCCTGTGGTCCCCCTGAGAACGACGATGTCCCTAGGCTGTATAACATGTGGTCCAATCTCGCTCCTTCCTTGCGCTTCTTCTTCAGCCATGAGGTATACTGGCTGTGTCTGGTACACATTTAGCCCATGAATGATTCTATTCTTTGTCGTTATGCATATTTCCTACTTATATATTTCGATTTTATTTAGTAGTATACCTTATTTATTTTTTTATCTTGTAGCTATTTATATCTTTACCGGCTTTATGGCTTCGTCTCCCGGATCGATTCCCGTATCCATTTTCGTCCTTCCGCCTGGCACCTACCTTCCCTTCTTTCTCCGCCTATCTGAACCCTCGTAGGGCTTCCCCTTCCCATTCCTTTCTGACCCGACACTGTCGTATGCGTATCAGGGTGGTCGTGGCGCGCTTGTAACAGCACCCGTCTCCCTGTCGTGTACCCGCCAGGTACCGCAGACAAAAAGCTTTTACCCGTACGCCATAATTGTACTAGTTTCAATGGTGGAGCTACTTTTGTGAAACACCAACATTCTCTCCCTTCCTCTTTCTTTCCCTCTCTCCATCTCTTTCCTCTCTCCCTCTCTTTCCTCTCTCTCTCTCTCTCTCTCTCTCTCTCTCTCTCTCTCTCTCTCTCTCTCTCTCTCTCTCTCCCCCTCTCCTTCTCCATCTCCATCCCTTCTCTCTCCCCCCTCTCTCTCTCTCTCTCTCACTCTCTCTCTCTCTCTCTTCCCGCCGGAAACAGCTCTACCTGCTGCTGAGTCATGGCTGTCTGCTCCTCACTGAATGATAATAGTCCGTTAAGAAAGAGGGGCGTGCCAACAACCTTAGAAGGGCCGACTATTCCAATTCCACACCCTCTCCCGACCATCTCCCCATTTAGCCTTCACCACTACATTCCCCTCTCCCCACTCTCTCTCTCTCTCTCTCTCTCTCTCTCTCTCTCTCTCTCTCTCTCTCTCTCTCTCTCTCTCTCTCTCTCTCTCTCTCTCTCTCTCTCTCTCTCTCTCTCTCTCTCTCTCTCACTCTCTCCGCTCTCTTTCCCTCCCTCTCTCGCCCATCTCATCTCCTATATTCTATTCATCTCCCTCTCAGTCTCTCTCCCTCCCTCTCCTCGTCTCTCCCCTCTTTCCCTCTCTCCCCATGTAATAACCAGCTTCCCACTCGCGCGTCGCGCCTCTCCTATCGCTCAACATCCGGCGGCCGTTTGATCCCATCACCTTTATCAATGGCGCCCTTCCAGCGGATGGCCCTGATTGGCGGCCCAGTCCTCTGTCCCCCCGAGAGCAGGGGCGGGGCGGAAGGGGAGGGCGGCGCCCCGTGACGATGGCGGCGTCGGTCGGGTTGTTGTGTTGCATCCTGCTAGCCGCGATAATCTTTCGTCGGGGCTGGTGAAATCATTGCGGCCCTCCTCGGAGACCCCCACAGCGGCAGGGGTGGTGGCGGCGGTGTTCAGTTCTGCACAGTGCATCCGGTCGGGTAGGATGTGACTTGTGAGAGACTTGGCAGTCATTGCTGGTAGAGCCAGCCTCCAGCGTTGTCTGCCGCTTCACTGCTGTCTGGCAGTGTATCTGTCAGTATCTGCCGCTACCCGGATATCTATCAGTATCTGCCGCTACCCGGATATCTGTCAGTATCTGCCGCTTGGTATCTGCCAGCCTGCCAGAGGCTGACGACCGGACCAGCTGACCGCCCCCGCTCCCGCCCGGGGATGGGCCGGTCGGCCCGACGCGCCAGATCGATCAAAGCGCAGCGCCGCCGCCGCCGCCGCTAGCGTCGCCGACGGCGGCACACTTGTGGGCGCGTCCGCGCGAGCGACGCTGCCGACGCGGCGTGTCTCGACGGGCCGGACCAGTCGCGGTGCGGTGGACGCTCGGAGGAGGGGGAGAAGGGTGGCGTGGCGACGCGCGGTGGTGCGTTTGGGAGGCTTGCTCAGTTTGGGTGAATTGAAGTGACTAAGTGCCTGTCGTTCCGACCAGATGACCCGCTGGTTGACCTCTAATGACCTCTCTTTTCCGCAGCGATCCCAATACCCAAGAACCCAGGTAACCCAGGAACCCAGTACCCAAGTAACCACCTATCCTTTACCCTCAGCGGTACTCAGTGAAGCAGTGGTGACTGATTAGACAGCATCTCGTGTGCTTGCGGTAACCTACTGATGACCCAATGACAATAACAAGTGACTTGACCTCAGCGCCGCGCCAGTGACCGGGCAGTGACCTCAGTGACCGGGCGGTGACCTCAGTGACCGAGCGTGACCTCGGTGACCGGGCAGTGACCGCCGGTGTCGGTGCCGCAGCGCCATGGTCTCCGGCGTCAGCTGCGCCGGCGGCGGCGGTGCCGATGGCGAGGCGGCGCCGCTGGCCAGCACGGAGGACCTGAGCGGCTCGGCGCTGGGCACCCCGCGCACCCTGGTGCGTCAGCAGCCGCCCAGCCGGCCGCCGGGGCCGGCTGCGCGCGGCAGGGACGTCTCCAAGCGCATCTACGATCAGATGCGTCTCGGAGAGGTGGAGCAGCTGGAGCTACAGGAGGAGCCGACCGACTCGTGAGTGACCAGCGCTGGCGCGCGGGGCTTCTCAGCTGCGGCTCGCCGGCTGCTGCCAGAGCAGCTGCGGCAGCCAGCTGCTCTGTAGCGTAGCGCGGTGCCCCGCCCCGCCCCCGCCGGCGGGCGTCGGGCTTTGGCAGATATGCATCGTCGGGGTGCCAGATATTCGCTAGCTCATTGCCAGGTGCTTCCAGGCGGCGCTGCTCTGTCGAGCGGCGGAGTCCTCTCGCCCTCTCCCCGCCGCTTCCCGGGGGTGTTGTCCCGCGCCGCACAGCGCGCCCGCAGCGCACGAGAGCTACTCGTTATCGTCCATTAACTCTGTGCCGTGCTGCAGGGGCTCTGGCATACTTTGTCTTGTCGGTCGGTCGGGAAGAGAGGTCTGTTTGGGCAGTCGCTTGACCGTGTCGGGGCACCGCTGCGGCTTTTCTTCGTAGTGCTTGTTGCTTTCTGTAGTTGTGCTAGGCAGGTGAGCGACGTTCGGCTGCAGCCGTGTATGCGGCGTGCCGGACGTTCCTCTGTAAACTCGAAACCAGAACTGATTTCATCACAGGGCTATGTGTGTCGCCCGAGGGTCTCTTTTAACAGGGGCGAGCTCCCTAACCACTAACGAGTAGCTGCTATAAACACTGATTCATCGCAATGGAACGTTATCGATTGTCAGGCACATGTTGCGTAATCGCATGACATCATGCATTCAGCCTTTCATTCGTTAGTAAAGCTGACTGTGTTTTATTGATAGTCTCCGTTAATTACGGCTGGGTTAGGCTGGTGTCTTGTTAGTAATTCCTTCTAGATTATTGCGTCGGGCTAGGGCTCTTATATGTAGTAACCCCATCAGACGCTTTCTCGCCGGTACACTACCATCAGCAGTTTGCCTTCCCGCCCAACAGCCCGCTGTTTATTTGTGACTCCGTCCGCTAACGGAGGCGGTTTACAGAGAGGCCGCTGACTGACATGGTACGCCACGGCAGCAGGGCTCCGCCTCCGGCGATATGGAGCTCGCGTGAAAGGACTGCCGTGCATACTGCCCTGTAGAGTGCTAGTGGAAACCGTTGGGCACAGTTACAATACCGTTAGCTATGGCTGGGCCTGGGAATGTAAATTTGACGGTAGCTGTGTGCAGCTAACGACGAAAGGACTGAAATTTTCCGCATAGCGTCAGCTATGGAGAACGTGGTAGTCACTGTCCAAGGATATTGGTGCAAGTGGCTAAGAAATGTGGGAACTGTAGAAAGGGAACCAGTATCTGCTACAGGGTTTTTACTTAGTTTATCTGCTACAGCCATGGGTCAATGTTTGTCAGGCAAGGTCCGCTTCAAGCCCGTCCGACTTGTTACTTCAGTAAAGTAGCAATATCTCCTCCAGGCACGATCTGCTTGAATCGAATTTCAATGCAGCATCAAACCCGCTGGTCTCTTGGCCTGCCATCCCGTCCTCATGCCCGACATTACTGTGCCGTCTGCCACTAGATTAAACTTGGACACATAATCACAGTCGGGTTGGGTTTCAAATTGAAACAGCCGCCGCGTGCTGGTCCTAGCTATCTCTGTGCCACAGGAATCATAATGATGTTACTTGCCAGACCCTCTGTTCCTAGTAGACACATTTGCTGGTTCGTCAGATGGTGCCAATCAAGGCCCTAAATACAATTATATGGGTGCCAATTATATTTGACACCCAAAATGTTGAGATTCTCTATGGTGTTACAAGTGTCATGCTCTCGACACATGACACCACAGTCCTGCACTATGAGCGTGTCACCACGTGCCAGGTGGTGTCTTATGACGTCCGACAGGACACATGGTCTCTAGCAGGTGTGGGCGTTGCCCGGTCCCTGTGACGTGAGCACACTGGACTCATTAGACGACGGACGAGCGGGGCGGCCACAGGCTGGCGGCTCTCTAGCTAACGAATTTTACCTAATGTATGGTGCGCTGCCGACTGCCGCTGCTGGTGGATTGAATGACCGCTAGGCAATGGGCTGTAGGACGTATGGATATTGGCTGACTGCGGGACAAGTGCAGGTTCTGGGTTTGGTTGGATTTCTGGATATTGTAACTGACTCAACATGGTATAATGGGACATTAGGATGGGATAGATTCTGCCGGTGTAAGGTAGATTTTCACTGATGTCGATGGTTTTGTTAAAACTTCTTTTCGGGCAGTGTATACTGATTTTTTTTTTTGCATTTTTTTTTTCTAGCATGATGTTTTCTGAGTAATGAAGGGGATGTTCCATGTCCATTGCCCATGGGGGTCGTAGGACACTGCTCGCCTGAGTGCCGTGGTATTGCAGTTGTGATCTACGATCGTGACCTTTTGTTTTAGAGGACCCTCGGGCACTGACACCAGTACGGTCGAGGTGTATGTCAGCCGGGATGTCACAAAGAATACACCCAGGGGGCCTTGCCAGGTCAGGTCCCCCGTCCTGGCCATCCGTTCCTTCCGCCTGCTGAAGCTATGCTTCCTAAGGGCTTAGGTAACTATCTAGCTTTTTTCTGAGTTGGTAATAGCGCTTGGAAACGCGACGGTACATCACCCTAATTAATTATCCGTCACCGCATTGCGACAGAGTCACGCACCGGAAATGAGCTGTCCCCATCGGCACTCGGACATCCGGGGTATCCGGCCACACCCAACCTCCCCTCCCCATCCCCCACCCTGAGCCCCAACCCGTACCCCGTCCCTCAGGTCACAGATGTATTGCAGTCGCTACGGGATTAGAACACGATCCCGACACAAACTCATTGGTGTCTTGACCCCTGGCCTCCTCAGACCCCTGGCGCCACCACCCCCCAACACTGCAGCTCTGGAGGTCTGGTGGTCTGGCTCCACTGACTCACAGGGCCCACAGCTCCGAGCATAGCGAGGCTGGGAGGCTGAAGTCGCATTACCGCCGGCGAGATAGCTGATGTCATCCTCAGAATCCGGCTGTAGAGCTCACCGCGGGAAAGGGTTGAGCGTTTGTCTTTCATCTAGGACGGAGGTTGTTCGCTGTTCAGACCATTACGGAAGTTCAGGATGATCTAGTTCTATAGCTGTGAGGGATGCTAGAGATGGGGTGGTGTTTATGTCTGATTAACTGGAATGTTGAACATCATTAAAACTGGCAAACAAAAATGGGGACGCTATTCAGGCTCTGGTGAGTTTGTAATTAGTTTTGCAACTGGGAATGGGATGCCTATGTTATCGCCTATCGGTAATTGGTTCCTTACCAGGGACAGTTGGCTAGTCTATGTTCTGTAGCTACTGAGGCAACGAGCTGCCTCGAGTTTTTATGAATCCGGTTGGGTTTAATTAAACTTTTCTATGTACCCAATTAGCAAGCAAGGGTGTTTGCTATAGCTGAGGACAAGACAAAACTAACTCTCTCGCCATGGAGTCCCGAGTCCCGTCTCGATGACCACAGGTCATGAGAGAGTGGTGCCTCTCGGATTGACAGATTGATCTGGTTCATAGGTGTGGTCGAAGATGCATCGATCATATTGACGGACAGCGAGACGAATTGGTGGGGCCTGCCAGCGTCGGTGGCTCATATATTACGTCAGAGGCCCTTAATTGCTCCTGTTGATTTAATTTTTCACCAAATGCTTCTGAGAAATGTGATTAATTTGTCAATAGCGACGGACCACTTCCTCTAGCACCTTTGCCGAGCGAGCTCGTAATTCGGTATCCCATTCTCTCGAAGCTCAGGAAAGGAGCGTGGTTAAAGGGACTATCCCACCTTTAACATGGGGTTTGAGTTGAGATAGCCAAGTTTGCGGCGAGGTTCAGAAACCACTATCTAGCTAGGTTGCCACCCCCGCGGCCTCTTGGTGTTGAAGAAATTCGTTCCCTTCATTTGAAAATGGGCCTTGTACAAGGCCCTATCTTCAACATGGAGCGACCGTTAGTGTGACGTCACCTCGTTTAGTCATTCTGATTTAAATGGGTTTGTTCGTTGAAAAATCGCTTAAAACTTGGTCTGAACTTTGTTGTGGTGCCTACAGAGTAAAAAGAATCAGCTTTATGACAGTAATGTGGCCTGGGGAAGGAGGTAATTTTGGGCTGTGACGTCACATATTTGAAAGTTTGTGTTTGGAATATGAGAAGCCTAAGATGTTTAATGAAAAATAAATGCCAGAACCGTGTTCCTGGTCATCCAATCTATAAAGTCGGGCACAATTTAACTGGTTTTAACAACATTTTAGAAGGTGGGATAGTCCCTTTAAACAACGTTCCACCCTAGAGAGAAGCTACAGACAGGTGCCATTCTTGCCTATACTTGTCTAAAAACAGCTTACATCTGCATACCGTGGCACACACCAACAGGTGTGTGAGGTGCACTCGCTCCCCTCCCCTGCCTCCCGTGCCGGTCTGACCCTCCTAGACCTAGCTGCACCCACGCGCTGACTAGCGTGCTGCGCCGGGCGTGTGATGACTGGGCGTGCTGCAAAGGGCGTGCCCCTCAGATGGTCATCGTCTCTCTCCGCTCCCCCTCGCACACACCACAGCCGCCGCGCTGTCCGCTGGCTGTTCGCAATTGTGTGCCGTGCAGGGAGGTATGCAGGACTCAGCACTCCTCACGCATAGGCGGAGTCCGGGCTGAACGAGGGCTGAGGGGTGTTTTTATTACACCCGGCGGGGCGTCTGCAGGTGCAGAGGGTGCACGATGCACCCCGCCGGCACCCAGCGGTCGCAGACGGTATCGGGGCGGTCATCTCTACCCACCCCACAGTCAACAGACTCGCTGGAGAGCAGACAGCGTGCTGACCAGACAAGTGGCCAAGAGTGCTGGTCCCGCCCGTGCCGGCTGTCGTCGGTAATGTATGCCGCCTGCGTGCGTGCCCACACCTTATCAGGTGGCCCGTCAGCTGCACGGCAGATTGCAGACACAGGGCGGAGGCCTCGAGACTTATGATGGAGAGGGCGGTCGAGTGGGTCGTATCTGGTCCTCGCAGCACTGGATATGTGACGGGTGATGCCGTCACGAAATATGTGCTGTAAGACACTTGTGGATGA